TTTCACAAGTTATATCATCTGTATTGAATTGTGGGCCAAATCATCCCTTTTCAGTCAGAGTTTCCACCTGGGTGAAAATCTGTGTTTTGGTCTGGGTTTTGATGTGATTGAAACAGGGACCAATTGCTTGTGTATCAGTCCAAAAATCTGCCGAGCAGATTTTTGTTACTTCACAGTAATTGGTAATGTGGCCAGCTGCCTACATCAGCAAAACCTGGGTGATCCCATAGCAAGGTCCCCCTCTGTGCAGCTCTGCACAGTGCTGTACAGAGCTGTACAGCAACTGATCTATATCAATTCCCGATCAATTGCTGTACAGAGCTGCACAGAGGGGGACCTTGCTATGGCGAACACCCAGGTTTTGCTGATGTATGTACATAGCCTATGTTGGTGTATTTTCATTTAAATATATGTCTTATATATATATATTTATAGTGTAGCACTAACTAAGATAGGCAGCTGCCCACAGCAATAATTCATGTATGATTGTATCCTTTCATTGATATATATATTACAAGTAACAGTGTGGGGTTGCTGTTGATCAGGTAAATTCACTAAGGTCTTGGGATATACTATTGTGGCCATATTCATTATTGGTGTTGTGCATGTAATGAAGGATAAGGTCATCCATTGCTGGATCCATGGCCAGGAATATGGGAAGCTGCCTTGAAATATCAAGTAGTATTGTGTCAGTAAGATAATGTATGTACTCATAAAATTCATGAAAAATATATGAAAAAATGATAGGGGGGAATTCAGGACCAAATTGGTGAAAAATGGCAGGCAGCTGCCCAGTGGGACCCCAGACACCTGTGACATGTGACAACTTGGGCATCTGCCCAGCCCTGACCAGGCAGCTGCCTGGTAGACAGGGCAGTGATTTTTATCAAGACAGGATTGGTGGGTTGCTGCCTGGAAAAATTGAGCACAGGTGGGCAGCTGCCTCACTGAAATATTGGCTGGGCAGAATGCCCAAAAAAGCAACCTCTTAGGATAGTTTAGGTACATCAGTTTTCTATCCTAACTAGGTCATATGTAGTGGTTGCCTGAAGTGTACAGTCCTTTGCAGTCCATCTACGTCCGCGTCCATATAATCTTCCAACAGCGCAAAAGTTATGCTCCAGCGTCCAATACCACTGCCGATGACAATTATGTGAATGGAGACCTCGCGACTCAAATAATGTCCCTTCAACGCGACTTCTCAAATCCCAACTTTCATGGGATAAAGATGAGTTGGCGAAGAGTAGAGGGGAACTGCGGATGAACAGTGAATGGATGGAGGTTGAGGTGAGGATGAATGGCGGAAGGCGTTGGAGGAGGAGTTGGAGAGTGAAGAGGTGAGTGACGCGTCTCCGTCTCCCTGTATTTATCTCTTTTCTTCTTTTGTTCCCTTCGTATTAACCCGCTTCCTCATACAGACGAGCAACATGGTCGCTATCAAGCATAAACTCTGCACTTAGTCCGAGCCAAATCTCCACCAGCAGCAGGAAAAGCTGAGGGAAGAGAGGGAGGCACAAGCACAGAGGCGTTGAAGAGCGTGTTGAGGGTTGTAGAGGGCAACGAATACCCCGGGTGTTGGACCCATACGCATACGGATCCCTCCGGGGACAACGATGTTTCCGCAACCTCGGACTCCTACGCTCTCCTCCCACAGACTGGGTCTACCATCTCTCTGTATCATTCTACGCTGCAGAGAGGGAGGGATACGTTCGTGTCCGGGTCCATGTCGAGGTCTAGGCCCTCATCCAGCAACGGGATCAAGTCTTCTTCGTGGCCAGGTACACCTCATGAGAGGTTAGAGGTGGATTCACGAGCTTTGAATTTGTACGCGAAGGTGGAGTTGAGCTTTGTGGACCCTTTGACAACATCAACATTGAAGGGATCATCAGCAGGGACGGAATCGAGTGCTTCTTCCTCTGATGCACCTCTAGCACCTTTATTGCCTCTCTCTCCTCTGAATCCAATCCGAACCAAAGTCCTGCTTTAAGAGCTTCAGCACCCCATACCCATCCAACGAGTCTCCTCCATCACCTGCGCATTCCACACCCGTATCACTCATCACCGCCCGCAGAATCAGAATCAGAATTCTAATTGGAGGTAGAGGTGGAGGCAGAGTCACAGCAGGATCATACTCTGGATACTCTGGTGCAGGAACAGGAACAGGCGGGGCTAGCTTTTGGAGGGGCGGTGGTGTAAGTATACCAGGGATAGAAGAACGGTATTAGGTTAATTATGGCTTACGGCTTATATGTATAGTTTTTCGACATCGAATTCAGTATCTTTTCATTCATTGGAGTAACTAAGCTACGCTGGGATTAGAAAGAGCTTTAATAAATACAAGAAAGGCAATGATGCACAAATCTTAGTGGTTCGACCCGGGCTTGAACCAGGGACCTTGTATGAAACATGCAAGCACCCTTGATCACTACTACAGACTCGATAACCAATATGCCATCAAACCACATTCATGGAGAAATAGCATGTGTCTTTATACTGAAACCAGAAGCCACTGCTCACAAGTAGTATTATCTCCACTATCACCTGGACTATCCTAACACTCTTTGAGTGGAGCCAATCCTGCCATCTCTGCACTACAAAATTGCGATGAGGGTCACCTAAAGGTGACCCCAGTCAACCCCCCAATGGGCTGTTGCCAGTATCATTACTGAATGCAGCTTAGTTCCAAAGAGATATAGACTTGGCTGCATATCACACTATCTGACTATCACACTTAATTAGTGCAAGCAAAAACAAAAAGCAGGGATTTATGTAGGAGTAATAAAAGAAGTACAGGTGTAAGTAAATGTGGTATATATTATAGACTTTAAAAGAAAACAAATCAGTCAAATACCTAGTTTGCAGTGTACACCTAGCACAGCAAAGCTGAAGGGTGAGGACTGAACCATATCCATCCAGTCACAAAGGCAATGAGAGCCCTGAATCACATTGATATGACACCATAGCCCATCGATCAATGACCTGGGTAATCTGACTACAGTTTGAACTTTACGAGGAACTAATATGTAAATTCATCACTCACCTATATTTTTTTCAACTTTCAAAGTTTGATTGCTTTCTGGTGTTGCATTGATGAGTTAGATTTGTGCTAGGTATGAAAACCAACCAAACAACAATCACCCCAATCAGATATAATCCAAAAGGTTTAATTTAATGCGAGGAAGGAGGTTGTCAAAGGTTCCCTTGACTACTAATTGATTCGAAGAGAAAAGCACTTGACAGTTGACACAGATAGTGCGCGATGAACAAGGTTTTATATTTGGAGGGAGGTTTTGAAAAGCCAACTAACGTACGACGATGCGCTGAACTAATCGAGGGGAAAGCAAACACCAAAGCACGGGTCAAGTACGCCGACTCAACAAATGACTTTGCGTATCTCGGGAGCCTTTACGTCGCCGCGCAATGATACTCCAACTCTCAGGGATTCCCGCGAGTTACCTAACAAGCTTATACGACCGCCGGGCAAGTCACTCGAGTATGTGTTTTTAACACACTCAGCGAAGAGTGGGCAAGGGGTAGAATCTGTTGGTAAAGCTAGGTAACACTCCGAGAGGCTTCCTCCCTAAAACTAGACCAAGCCGACACTTGGGTCCAAGACCTTTCCTAATCAACAACGGGCTCGTCGAGGTGTGCACGTTAGGCTCCACCTGCGGTCCTAAGACTGATGTGACCTCTCTTCGAGATGAAAACCAGGAATGCTCGACTTAATAGCCGGGAAGTAGAATGAACAGCCTCAGTATTGTCGAGGTTACAAGAAGGCCACCTGTTTCAAAGGTTGTAGAGGACGATGCAGACGCGTCTGAGCGTGTACGAATCACTACAGGTCCTAAGATAGAACTGTGTTTCAGGTATCAAGTCTAACTTGTCATTCCGAGATAGAATAGCTACCCTTATATACTGAGCGAGATATATGAAAATAGGAAAATGAGAGAAACTGAGCGAGATAGGATGAAACAGAGTAAGTAAAATAGGAAAAGATAAATAATGTCCATATATGCGTGTATACTATGGTTTTGCCTCGACGTTTTCCTGCCTTGTTTGTTTGTCTTCCTTGATTGGGTCGACTTTGGGATTTTGGTCCGAATCGACTTGAGTCATTTGCTTTTTTACAAGGCTCGCCAGTTCCTTTAGCAGAACAGCCCTCGGAAGTATTTCTATGTTTTTCCTTGCCAATGGGAGACTGGTTATTATCCCTAGTTCCGCGCGGTCTCGAGTCTAGATGCCTGGTAGCATATGGATCTCGGTAAAACGCTGAGGCTCGGATAGAAACACTCCTTGGTCCTTCCGTGCTCTAGCAGTAGCTACAGCAAGTGGGTCATGTGGCCGCGTTGGACTGCCGCGGCTATCTGCCTGGGCACTTTCCAGCGAGCATCAACTTTGAGGGCACCCGTTAGTGTACTTCCTCATCTCGGTCCACCTTGCTTCGTTTAATAAACTTGAGTGTTGTTTAGACTCCTCGGTGAGCTGATCGCGGAAGTGATGCCTCATTAAGACTTCAATCCCTTGGGTATATCCTTCGATGACCTAGCCTAGTATAACTGGTATGTGGGCTCGTTTATCTGCCTCGGTAAGCAACTTGTTATCCAGCAAGCTTGCCTCGCTACACCATACCGCGCATAGGACTTTGATCGAGGCGCATTCACAAAGTTAAGTATGGTACCATTGCGCGTACCGTTACTCTGCAACCTCTTGGGTAGAATAGGTCCTCGGTAGATTTTAACTATCAGCTCGGGCTCACTATAGTTCTCTTATTGACCGTGTTTTGTTACTAACAGAACCTAGGATTATTGGTTCTGCGCAGTTCTAGCCTTAGCCGAAGAATCGGCGTATCAGCATGGCAGTAGCTAGTAGCTTGCAAATTTTGTAATGCTCATGTTTATGCGAAAAATCAAAAGCAGTAAATCCATCATCAGTCTGTGCGTTCACATTTGCCCCTTTTTCCAAGAGGTAATGCACAATTTCCAGATGACCATTTTGAGCAGCAATTATAAGGGGGGTTGAATTTCTCAAACCAGGAATATTCATGTCTGCCCTAAAATTTAGTAGAACCATTTTGGGATGCTAGTCTTAAAGCAGTGGAACCATTCTCATTTTGTGCATTTACATTGGCCCCATGGTCCAGCAGGAGAGAAACAATATCAAGATGTCCTCTTTGAGCAGCAATAACAAGAGGAGTAGTTTTGTGAAAGCCTGGGAGATCTGGATCAGCCTCATGGTCAAGTAAAATTTTGACAATTGTGACATGACCATTCTGGGATGCTTGTCTTAAAGCAGTGGATCCATTTCCAGCTGGGCCATTTACATTTGCTCCCCTGTCCACAAGGAAGGAGACAATATTCAAATGCCCATTTTGAGCAGCAATTACAATAGCAGTTCCACTTTGGATTGATGTAATATCCATGTCTGCCCCAGAATTGACCAGAAGCTTGACAATTTCAAAATGGCCATTTTGTGAGGCTAATCTCAAAGCTGTGGAACCAGCTTCATTTTTTGCATTCACATCTGCCCGATGCTCAATCAGGATAGAAGTAACATCCAAATGACCTTGTTGTGCAGCAATTATAAGTGGTGTGTATTTCCTGAATCCAGGAATATCCTTTTCTGCTCCATGGTTCAGCAAAAGCTTGACAATTTCAAAATGGCCCTCCTGTGATGCTAGTCTCAAAGCAGTACTACCATATTCATTTTGTGCATTCACATTTGCCCCATTCTCAATCAGGATGGAAACAACATCCAAATGACCTTGTTGTGCAGCAATTATAAGTGGTGTGGATTTCTTGAATCCAGGAATATCCTTTTCTGCTCCATGGTTCAGCAAAAGCTTGACAATTTCCAAATGGCCCCCTTGTGATGTTTGTGTCAAAGCAGTACCATCATATTCATCTTGTGCATTCACATTTGCCCCATTCTCAAGCAGGATGGAAACAACATCCAAATGACCTTCTTGTGCAGCAATTATAAGTGGTGAGACTATTCCTGGAACATCTATATTTGCCCCATGGTTAAGTAAGAGCTCCACACTTTCAAAATGACCATTGCATGACGCTTGAGTCAAAGCAGGATAACCATCTTCATCTTGTGCGTTTACATTTGCTCCATTCTCAATCAGTAAGGAGGTAATGTCTAGATCTCCATCGTAAGGCAGCAGTTAGAAGTGGAGTGTATTTTCTGAATCCTGACAATCTCCTTGTCTGCCCCATGGTTCAGCAAAAGCTTGACAATTTCAAAATAGTCATTTTGTGCTGCCAGTCCGAACATAGTGTCACCATGTTCAGCTTGTGTTTTCCGCCCTATGAACTGCCGCACTTAATGCTGATCCATACAATCCTCCTTTGGCATTTACATTTCTTCCATTCACCAGCTGCTTGACCATATCTTGGAGTCCACACCAAGCAGCATAATACAATGGTTGAGGCATAGCCCAGCTCTTCTGTTTCCTTTCAAAACTCGCTAGTTTCAAGCAATTAATATATGTGGTTCCACCTGCTTGGATTATCTTAAAGGCTTTCTGATATACATTTTCACTGTTGCCCCTTTTTGCATGCTTATACCAGTGTTGAGCAGCGTATCTAGAGATCGGATATTCCTCATTCCATTGCACAACATCTGCTATTTCTGTATTGAACAGTAGCAGATATGCCAAGGAGCTTTCTGCTATTAATCTGTGACTCAAATATTCATTCATGTGGAACTGTGATGCTGTAGTGTTCAAATTTGATTTGAGGTGTTCAGATAAGAGAAATTCCCTGACAGATGTATGTGCTAGCTCCACAGTATTTCTGTTGTGGTCGACATGTATAAGTGTTGCACCAAGGAAGGTGATACGTTCTGGATCAACTCGGTACTTCTTTTCAAATCCAATTCCGTCATCCTCTCTTACAAAAGCAATGACTTCCCCTAGTGCATCCAGTGTTAAAGGTTCCATTGAAAAGCAAAGCCACTGAAGAACCTGCTTTGTGTCCTCAATGCGAGAGGCTTCGATTGATTGAAGTGCTTGAATATACGTATCATTCAGATTCGCAGGAAGTTGATTCAAAACAGAATCAACTGCCTTCAGACCTATGCATGATTGCAGAGCAATCAATTGACAATCAACCCAGCGGAACCTAGCATAGCAATCAGGATTTAATCAGGATGACTATTCAACCAGGAATAATTTTGAGACTCACATTCCATTTGCCCTTCCAGTTAGACTGTTTACAATTTGACTTTTCTCCTCGTCACTATGTTGACCGAATGCATTGTCATTCTTCATGGTATAATCCAGGAAGATTTCCACATCTGTGTTTACATTTTCTTTATCAATCAGAACAACTTTTGAACAAAGTTGCTCCAATTCACGGGCATAAAAAATATGTGGTCGACTTGCTATGAGCATATGCAAATGGGAGTATGCCACTGTGCTAAGCTCCTCCATAAGTTGGAACAGAGGCTTAAAGCTTT